AAACTTAATGAATAAGAAAGAATTATCGTAACATGTAATTTAAAATATCAAAAAAAATTAAAAATGAGTAAAGACTTTAAAAAGATGTGATTACGATTAAAACTAATGTCATATTTATTAATACGTATAATTTTATTTGGATATTATTTATATTTTAACATGCTTATTGAAAACAAAAATAAATAAAAATAAAAATAAAAATATTAATAATTTTGAGTTTTAAATTATGAATTTGTAGACTTGCTATATTAACTTTTAGAAGGAATATATTAGAATTTTTTTACAAAAATTGAATATTAGTCATTGAACAAATCTTATAAGATTTATAAAATAAAATTTGTAATAGAAAGAAATTAATGATATTGCAACATATGCATTTTAACAATTTTAAATTTTGAAAAAAAATATATTAGGATTTTGAACTTCAATTATTGTACAACATTTTTTATTTATGATAATATAAATACGGATAGGTGATAGATAGATTAAAATTAATTATAAATATAGCTATATTTAAAAGGATATGGTTTTGTATAGCTATATTTTAAAGTCTAAAATTTATTTTTAACTTCTTATATAAAAAGATTCAAAATTTTAAATTACATATGATTTTTTTCTAAAAACATATGAACTCACAGTGAAGTAGAAACAGAAGTACCATAAAGGAATAGAGGAGCTGCACATATTAAAGATAAATAATTAAATAATTGACTAACACCGTTAATAGTTTAAAAAATTTGATTAAAATTAAAATTTTCTATTTATTACTTTGAAAAACTATTATATGCCTTTGAAATAATGTTCTACACCAATTGTCAATTAACACGTCATGATATCAGAAAAATATTAAAAGTAATTTTTTTTTTAAAAAGTAATGATATACAAATATAAAATCAATACAAAAAACTTATTAATAAAGATTTTGTTTGGATTTTTATCTATTATTTTATAGTGAGTGACATGTTTTTTTATTATACGAATGACCATATCATGCCATTTTAGTATAAAAATTCTAGGAAAACAATACTAACCAACAAAAAATAATTATAAACAAAAAACAAATAATGGTTCTTAGAGAGGAGAGAGAAATGACACACAAAATATGAAATACAAAAATAAAAAAATGGTCATAGATAAAAAAGAAAAAGAAAAAATGGTGTACCTAAAAGATAAAAAAAGTCTGTTTAAAGAATAGAATAGATTAAAAATAAAGTTAAAAAAAATCAATTTTATTGTTCCATAAATATAATATTTATAGGGCGAGCAAGACATGAATGGCTTGGAAAAAATATAATGTATGATGGCTAATATTTTTGAATAGAAGAAAATTTTGGTTAGAGAAAGAGTGCATAAGAATAATTTTTTTCATCTTTTCTTTTCTAAATTATAAATCATGGAATCATTATAAAAAACAATAAATTATGAGATTTTTCTAAAAAATATATATATAGTATAGATATGCTTAGATTTATTTGGGAATAAAATTGTATTTAATTATAAAATAGAGAGAGAATCTAGATATAAGGTTTAATTTTTATTTTATGTTAGGCTTAATTTTAGGTTTATATAGATTAGACCAGTTGCGAAATATTTTAATAGTATACATTTTATGGGAGGTGAGAGAGTTTTCTTTTCATTAGATTTATTTTAGAAGAGAGAAAATTGTCTGAGATTTATATTCTTTTTAAAAAATTAGATTTAAGGTTTTGAAACACTCGAGGCCTCTAAGATGAAAAGTCACTTTGATATAATAAATAGCATAGATAGATTATGAGATTTAGAAAATAGATAAATATTAGGGGAGAGATTTTAGAAACTTGTAATTCAATTTTTTTTTATTATTATTTTTATATCTATAGTTACTTTGTTAGCCAATAGTATTATTTTTAAAATTACAAAAATTAGCAATTTTAGTTTTTTTTTTTTAAATCTATAGTTATTTTGTTAGCCAATAGTACTATTTTTAAATATTTTTAAAATAACAAAAATTAGCAATTTTGATTTTATGTTCTCTTTAATCTATAATGTTTTTGTTTTTAAATATATAATTACTTTGTTATGAGATGAGATTTGTATTGTTGTCGTTTGTTTGTTTTTTTTTTTTAATAGATAGTTACTTTATTATGAGATGAGATTTAGGAAAGACAGAAATATTGGAGGGCGGAAGGGGAGATTTTAGGAACTTGTAATTCAAAATTTTAGGTAACAATTGTGGAATAAAAGTTTGGAATTCTCACAAGCCTTCTCTTTATATAATAAATAGATAAATATAGATATTTCTATTTGTTTTAGATATTTTTTTAATATACAAATTATTCTTTTGAGATTTTTTATAAAAATAATTTAATAATCCTATCACTAACTATAGTGTATAGGAGAAGTTGAAAAAGGTGTTACAATAACTATGAGAGAAGTAAAAAATGCTTGTGGATTAAGAGAAATCAATAAATGCTGAGATTATTATTATTTTTAAATCAAAAAATTAGAAAATTAAGATTGAGATATTGGAGCTCCCATAAGGCTTGTTGCTTAAAAACCACCCTTTCCTTATATAATACTCGCATATCACGCATGCTATGCACGGATTATGTTTACAATTATCTATATATGAGAATTACAATTTTAAATATTTTTTTTTAAATGCCTTCTTTTTTCCCTTTTTTATATGATATTAAAATTTAATATTTTAATAATAATCATATGTGTTAGACTTTTCAATAAATTAAATGTCTTTTTTTTAATTATATTATATTAAAGTTTAATATTTTGATAATAATTATATGTGTTTGACTTTTTAAGAATTTTTTTTATACTTGTTCTTAATGCATTAAAGTGTTATTATGAGGGATAATAATCATATGTGTTGAGACTTTTCAAGGACTTCATATGTGTTAAATTTCAAAGAATTTTTTTTTATGCTTATTCTTAATGTATTAAAATGTTATTATGGGAGTAAGACTTGGGGGTTGGGAGAAGTTAATAAATGCTAAGGTTTTTTTTTTAAAATAAAAAAATCAAGAAATTTAGATTGGGAAATTGGAGCTTCCACAAGGCTTGGGTTTAAAAACCGTCTTTTACTTAATATATAGTATAGGTATAGATTATATTAAGAAGTTTTTAATTCATTGTGAATATTAAATTATTTTTGCATCTATAAACTTGTACATTTTAATTATTTTAGATCACTTTCAGAAAGAATATATTTATATGATTTTTACATCTCTCTGGTTTGAACTCCAAGCAATCTTTTCCCCAAATTGTCTCCATCCTTCCCATGGCATAGAAAGCTAATATTATTCTCGTATTTGCACCTATCTTGTTGCCACTTGGAAGAATGTCTGGTTGAACTGAAGCTTTGTGCTGTATAGGTACTGGTGGGAATAGCCGTAGGGATTCACACAAAGCTCCATGGAGGTAGACAAGTTTCTTCATCTCTTGATCATTTATGTTGGAAAAACATAGATGCAATCTATTATCTTCTTTTGGATGTAATTTCGTTGTGATCTCTTCTCGAATCTTGTTCTCTACAGAAGGGGTAGTTTTAGTATTCTAGAAACAAAACAAACTCATCCTTTGCTTATTTTTTCCTGAATAAATGACCCCACTGAAAAAACAAAATTCTGGCCAAGTCATAATCAAGTCAATTAATAATTTTTAATAATATTATAAATATATTTCAATTAATAATTATGTAATTTTATTATCGTATAGGAAAGTAGTTATGAATTTTATTTTTTTTATTAATTCTGTTATATAAAAAAATTATAATAAGAAGATATTTGTAATTTTCAAAACTATAAAAAACAATTCATATTTTAAGTGAACTTTTAATGGTGTATTTGTAATTTACCCTTCAATTTTTTTTTTTTTTATTTCATCTACTAATCCCATCATAACTTATCATTTATAATCTCAGTCGTAATCATAATCAAATCATATACTCAATATTTCACTTCATATGATTTCACAATATAATTTATGCAGTCTTTTGAATAAAATTATTGTATTTAATTTCATCAAAAATAATCATACAACCAAACATAGCCTAAATTTATTACTGTTTTTACCCCGGGAGCCGAATGTTTGTGAACAAGTGGAAACTCATCTTGATCCTTGATTACAAATGAGAAGCAAACTGGCCAGGGGGTGAAGAAAAGTGATGTTATGTTCGCTTTACTGCCATGGCCACGAGGTGTTTGATGTTTTGCCTATGAGAGACCAACCACAACGATCAAACACTGCTCTAATAGCACACACACTTGGTTTAAAATACATGGTCAGATTTACGTCCAGAGATTAACTAGACTTTAATGATACTGCTATGTTTGGCTGTTGCGAAAGGGATTCCACCGCCGAGTCTGTGTCTGTTATGAGAGCAGTGGCTAATAGAACTGATGCGCCTCAAAGTCTTCTGGGTTTAATTGGGTTGGAAATGAAAAAAAAAAAAAAAAATGAAGGGAAAATGTTAAAAGTCTTTATTATCTCCCAAAATACACACGTGCGCGCGCCCTATATATATATATATATGGAGGCCAATTTTGGGGCTCTGTATAATTTGTTCAGAAAGCCAATAAACTGAGGCTTGGATGGTGGCTAGTCAAAGAAAGATGAAGTGATCATGACATTTTTATTGCATTCTTAAATTTCATATTGCTGCTTTTAATTGCAATTCTTTCGATTGCTTGAGTTAAATTTCAACACTACTGATCTAACCACCAAAATCCATGTGGTTCAAGGGGATGCATTCAGATTTTAAGTATCTTGGTTATTAAGATCAAGAGCTCAAACCCACCGTGTTTGGGACTGATAGTGAGACATTAAACTTGCATGCTTGATGGACTCTCTTAATAGTTGGGTTTCACAATTAGACATGAACGTTGAATACGCTTAATAGAGATAAGTGTCGAGTACATGTAACTCTCATAATATTAATGATCTATCTTCTATGAATTTAGAAAATTACTGCTTTATTCATTTTGTGAAATTACATTGTACTTAATTTAGATAACAGAGGCTGTAATTTAAGGTTAGAAATAGAAAACATTTCACACTTTATTGTCATTGAAGTGACAATACTACTTCAGCATGCATCAAACGCGTCTTTTGGTTACCCTGACCTTCAAACCATCTTTCATATGCAGTACGATAGAGCTACATGGGGAAATAGCATGAGCATCTACCACTTGAACGTTATAATTATATATAGTTGTAATTGCAATTATTTTCATTTGGATGAAGGTCAGGTCCTTCCCTAAACAGGACCTTGGTCTTGAATTAAACGTTATGAACTTGTAAGATGGTTCATGTTTGGTCCCTCCTTGCTCGGTAATCCATCTCTCTGGTTTGAACTCCAAGCAATCTTTTCCCCAAATTGTCTCCATCCTTCCCATGGCATAGAAAGCTAATATTATTCTCGTATTTGCACCTATCTTGTTGCCACTTGGAAGAATGTCTGGTTGAACTGAAGCTTTGTGCTGTATAGGTACTGGTGGGAATAGCCGTAGGGATTCACACAAAGCTCCATGGAGGTAGACAAGTTTCTTCATCTCTTGATCATTTATGTTGGAAAAACATAGACGCAATCTATTATCTTCTTTTGGATGTAATTTCGTTGTGATCTCTTCTCGAATCTTGTTCTCTACAGAAGGGTTTGTTGCAACAAGCCAAAAGAACCATGTGAGAGCTGCACTAGTGGTGTCTCTCGCTGCAAAAAGAAAATTCAGCATGTTGTCTCTTATCAACTTATCTGTAGAGTCATCAGATACATCATTTTTCATCATGTAAGCAGTTAATAAGTCATGATCAAAAGCCTCATCTCGGTCTTCCACCATTTGGATCGTGCTTCTTCTTCTTAATTCCTTACGTTTTGATGAGATACACTGGGCTATTAACAGATCAAGGGTCTCCCATGCTTTACTGTAATTCTTTTCTTTGCCAACTTGAAGCCACCTTTGCAGCTTCCAAAAGCTTTCTGGTAATATATGTCTGTATAAAAGAGCCTCCTCAGCATCATTGAATTCCTTCTCATATGCAACATCTGGTAAACCAATAGAGAGGGAAGCTGGGTCATGACCCAAAACCAATATGCATGCACTATCGAAGGTGAAGTGCTGAAATAACCCTTTCAAATCCATCTCTGTTCCAAGCTCCGATGCATGCTCAAAAACTGGGATTAGCCCCTTTTCCACTTTGTTCCAGATAGTTTTCACCACAAACGTTTGGAACCTGTGGTGATTGAACACTGACGTTGCAGTTTTCCTTTGGGTTTCCCACACTTCTGAATCCACATTGAAAATTCCATTTCCCAAAATGTCAAAGATCCTATTAAATGCAGGGCCTTTTGGAAAGTTTGAGAAGTTCTTGCTCAAGATGTGCTGGATGTTGGCAGTATCACCCGTAATCAACATGTCCATGTTAGCAAACCAAGGGCCTTCAAACATGAATGTGCCTCGACTTTCCTTCATGATCTCTGTCAAAAACTCGTGCAAGCGATGGGCGTTTTGAAGCAGTCCCGGCAGCATACCAATGACCGGCCAGTTTGTTGGCAGACAGCTTTTGTGCTGTCTTCGACTCCACCTTTGATAGATCAGGGAAAGAAAACAAACAACAACTAATAATATCCCAGGATACCTAATGACAACCATTGGAGCTTTGTAACTAGTAAAATATTTCTTGTTATTATCTTCCACAGGCTAGCCTTTTATAATGTTCACATCCTATCATGCAACTACTAGCCAGAAGAATGGCAAGTCCCTTCAAATACGGATAAATTTGAAAAATTATAATCTTGCATAAAAGTAATAAAAAATATCCCACAAGAATTGTGTGGCAATTGTAGTCTTAATTGCAGGACATTAGCCAGAAGAATGGCAAGTCCCGTCACGTATGTTTATTAATTTTTAATTTTCTTTTATTTCTTATGTGATGTCTAAGCCTCCGTTTGGGAAGTGGATTGGCTTTTTGGCTTTTTGACTTTTTTGGCTATTTTAGCTTGGAGCTAAAAAGCCTGATTTAGGAAGAACTTTTGGTTTTTTTGGTTTTTTTGTGAGAGAAAGAATGTGATGATTATGGGTTGGATGTGATGTTTTGTCTTATTGGTCTAAAAAACTTACTTTGCTTTTTGTGGCTATTTTAGCCAAAATAGCCTTCAAACCAACTTCCCAAACGGAAGTTAAATTGCTTGTTCAAATTATGAATTTACTTTTCGTAAAGGAAAAGGTTACATGAATTTAATAATTGTGCTTGATTTTTAGGTTAAATATCTAATAGCATCACGAAGTTAAGAAAAAAATTAATTTCTATGTTTTAATTTAATCCTTTAAGAATTAATTTAATGGTTAAGTTGTCATTGACGTGAGGATACAGTATTATAATCGATTAGTTGTTGGGCCATTTTGTGTGATGCATTTCCGTGATATACTACAAATGATAACTTAAACATGAATACTTGATGAGGCCTTGCTTTGTGTGTTAGTTGTAACTTGTAACTGAGGAATTGCCATTTTTTGATGAGACAATATGAATGTGATAAAAAAAACAAAAATGTAATGTTGGTTTGTTGGTTGGTGAGACTTTAGAGGGTGTGCCATTGTGTATGACTATTTGTACAAACTAGGACTATATATCTGGTTATGCTTAGTTGATTTTAGTTATGATGTTTTGTGGTGTTTTGTAATATTACATTGTGATTTGAAGTACTTGTGTATATGCCAATTAAAGTGGACTATGAATGTAATAGTACTTGGTTACAACCCATGTTAGCCTTTTGTTAAATTTGGTGGTTGGTTATGATTTACAATTGTGTTGGTTATGAATTAAATTAATCACGTAAATTCATTTTATAAGATTATAACAGTTAAAAGTGATTGTGCTTATGGTATACACTGTTTCAGGGATGTATTTATGCACTTTATTTTTATAATTTTTTTAGTGAACTATAAACGTGAAAATAGACATCATAATCGAATGATTATTTAATTTCATTTAATTTTAATAAACCAAGCCTAACATAAGAAATGTAACTACTTTCAAAATCCTATATTTTAGACAGAATTCCATCCCAAGACGGATGCCTTGCCCATCTTAGCTCAATGCAGAGTACGTACAACACATCAAAAGAGCAAACCCAAGTGAAGTTACTAATAAAAGTTTTTGTTAACATGTGTCATAAGGACATATGTTAAGATAGTATTAAATAGGTATAGTATCTCCACTTATATAGGAAATAGTAAAAAATTAAATGTTGTGGTATGACTTAGTAGTTTTTTGACTTTTTATGAAGAAATTTGTAAAAAAATTTGAAAGGTGATGTGATAACTTTTATCAAATAAATAGCTTATTTAGGTGATTGCCAAACCACCTCTAAATTTAAAAAATATATTTTATAATGACACCAAAATACCCTTGTTGCTTTTTCTTCTATTTTAGCCTTCCATCTCACCCTTTTTTTTTTTATTTTAAAAAAAACCTTTTCGCCATTCTTATTTTTATATGATTTTTTTCCCGGTAAAATATTAAACTTAAAAAACATACCTTTTTTTTTTGGTCAAATTAATTTTCATATTTCAAAAAAAAAATTAAAAAATTAAACCAAACAAAAATAATTTTCAACTAAAGTTTTTCTTTTAATTGGGATTATTTTAAAAAAATAATGAAATATGGTACGTAAAATAAAAATAATTGTTCACAAAGGTGAGATATTTTTATTTTTTTTAATGCTGAATTGTAATAGTTAATACGTTTATTGTCAATTTCTTTACCAAGAACGGAGAAATATATAAGATTTATTAACTTTTTGAAAAAATACTAAATTTACTTCTACTTTTTTTTTAATATTCTCATATAAGTAGAAGTAAATAATGTTAATTATTATTACTTTTTTAACATGTATTCAGCAACAATTCATTTCATGGTGAAATACCCACCAACCTTTCCCGATGCTCAAATCTTGAAACCCTTAACTTGATCGATTTGATTGATGAATACGGTTCATCCCTTGCTTCGCCGATGTTGTGACATTTGATTGATGAATACGGTTCATCCCCTGTTCGATAAAGTTTCGACGAGATTTGTTTTGAAAGACCTCGGCTTTATTCATGCAAACCTTTATTTTTAGTACCATTCACTGAGTATTCAAACTCACCCTCTCTATATATATGTAGGTGATGAGCAGGACGTCGGCGACGCCTAGACTGTTTTGAAAGCTTGTTTTGGATCCGTGCTTATGTCGGCTTTATTTTGTATTCATGTCGGCGAATCTTGAAAATCATGCTTCTTGGCTTGTATTTGCTGTCTTTTGTATATGTCGGCTCAAGAAGCCTTTTGATCAAGATGTAATACGTATTTTGTTTTGTTGTATTCAAGTTGTAAGATGAATGACATTACATTTGATCTATGCACAGCTCTTATGGACCACCTATATTTTAGATTATTGCTTCCGCGTTTGTGAGCCCCGTTTATCATACTCTGATTATTAAGTTTTTTTGAAAGTTGGCCTTCGGTAATTACGGATTACTGGCCATCACGGCACCAAACTACTAGGGGCGGTTTGGGGTCGTGACAAATTAACTGAAAATTTTCTGAGTAATACGCTGAAAATTTACAAAGAATTTACTTAGTAATTTACTAGGACTTTTTTGGAAATTTATTGAGAATTTATTAGGAATTTACTAAGTAATTTACTGAGTAATTTATTCAGAATTTATTGAGAATTTTCTGGGAATTTGTAGAGTAATTTACTTAGAATTTTCTGGCAATTTACTGAGTAATTTACTTAGAATTCACTGGGAATTTACTAAGTCGTTTACTAAGAATTTACTGAGTAAATTTTTGAACAATTTATTGAGAATTTACTGGAAATTACTGAGTAATTTACAGAGAATTTAATAGGAATTTACTGAGTAACTTATTGAGAATTTATTAAGAATTTACTGAGTTATTTACAGGAAATTTACTAAGTAATTTACTGAGAATTTACTGGAAATTTACGAAGTAATTTACCTAGAATTTACTTGAAATATTCTGAGTAATTTACTGAGAATTTACTGCGAATTTACTGCAAATTTACTGAGTAATTTACTGAGAATTTAACGAGAATTTACTGAGTAATTTATTGAGAATTTATTAGGAATTTTCTGAGTAATTTACAAGGAACTTACTGAGTAATTTACGGAGAATTTACTGGGAATTTACTAAGTAATTTACTAAGAATTTACTTGAAATTTACTGAGTAATTTAAGGAGAATTTATTGTGAATTTACTGGTAATTTACTGAGTAATTTACTTTGAATTTACTGAGAATTTATTAAAAATTTACTTCAAAATTATTGAGTAATTTACTTGGAATTTATTGATTAATTTACTGAGTAATTTGCTGAGAATTTATTTGGAATTTTCTGAATAATTTACTCAGAAGTTACTGGCAATTTACTAAGTAATTTAGCCAGAATTTACTGAGTAATTTGCCGAGAATTTACTGGGAATTTACTGATTAATTTACTAAGAATTTATTTCGAATTTACTGAGTAATTTACTAAGAATTTAAAGGGAATATATTAAGTAATTTACTGAGAATTTAGTGAGAATTACTAGGAATTTACTGAGTAATTTATTAAGAATTTACTATGTAATTTACTTGGAATTTACAGAGTAATTTTTGGGGAATTTACTAACTAATTTACTGAGTATTTAAGGGGAATTTACGGAGAAATTTACTGAGAATTTGTTGTGAATTTACTGAGTAATTTACTTAGAATTTACATACAATTTATTGGGAATTTTCTGCTTAGTTTACTGAAAATTAAATGGTAATTTACTGAGATCTTACTGAGTAATTTACTGCGAATTGACCAGGAATTTACTGAGTAATTTATTGGGAATTTACTGAGTAATTTTCTGAGAATTTACTGAGTAATTTTCTGAGAATTTACTCGGAATTTACTGAGAGTTTTTTGGGAATTTACTGAATAATTTAATGAATAATTTACTGAGTAATTTACTCAGAATTTACTGAGAATTTAGTGAGAATTTACATAGTAATTTACTAAGAACTTACTTCTAATTTAATGAGTAATTTACAGAGAATTTACTGAGTAATTTTCTGAGAATTTCTACAAATTTATTATGTAATTTACTGAGAAATTACTATGAATTTACTGAGTAATTTACTAAGAATTTACTAGGAATTTACTGAGAATTTATTGAGAATTGTCTGAGTAATTTATTGAGAATTTACATGAAATTTACTGAGAATTTTTTTGGGAATTTGCTGAGTAATTTACTTTGAATTTACTAGGAATTTACTGAGAATTTATTGGAAATTTACTTCAAAATTACTGAGTAATTTACTTGGAATTTATTAATTAATTTACTGAGTAATTTACTGAGAATTTATTTGAAATTTTCTGAGTAATTTGCTCATCAGTTACTGGCAATTTATTGAGTAATTTAGTCAGAATTTGCTGAGTAATTTGCCGAGAATTTACTGATTAATTTACTGAGAATTTATGGCGAATTTACTGCGTAATTTACTAAGAATTTAATAGGAATATACTGAGTAATTTACTGAGAATTTAGTGAGAATTATTAGGAATTTACTGAGTAATTTAGTAAGAATTTACAAAGTAATTTCCTGGGAATTTACAAACTAATTTACTGAATATTTAAGGGGAATTGACTGAGAATTTGTTGTGAATTTACTGAGTAATTTATTTAGAATTTACATACAATTTACTAGGAATTTTCCTGTCACGACCCCAAACCGCCCCTAGTAGTTTGGTGCCGTGAT